GCGTATCAACAACGAGTATTAGTGCTTTGCTGAGTTGCCGGCTGCATTGCAACACGCTTGCTTTCATTGAGACTTATCGTAATCATCCATTAAGTGAGCCGTAGCGTATCAAGAACGTCAAGTCCTTTCTTGGCAAGCGGCCGCCGTTTATTTTCCTCACCAAACTTGGAATTGGATTAATTTACGTTTTTGTGATTTGTTCTAATTTAATTTTTGTGGTCTTAATTATTTTCAAAGGTTACTTGTTTTACCTAGGAATTTGATTATTTTGTATTTGTTTATTTGTTATACTGTAAGCGTTTGTGGTAGTTATGATTCTTTTCTGAAATCGGTTTAAGTTATCACTTATGGGAGGTCTTGTTGGGTTGTGTTTGTGTTATGGTTGATTTATTTTGATTTTTTGCTGTGGTTTGATAATTTCCTCCCATGGGGTGTATTTCCCACTTCATGATTTCAGATTGATTTGTGCTACTTCGAGTGTTATTCCTATTTCTTTTGTTTTTTATTTAAATTATGATTGGTTTGGTTAATTAAATTGAGCTTTAGATTATTGATTTATTTTCTTTAACTGTCTTTCTTTAATTTGAGTTTGATTGGTTTTGAGCATTGTTGTTATTTCTTTTGAAGTTATTTTTGTTAAGTTTATTTTTCATTCAGAGTGAGAGTGGAGTGAATTGTGGTGGCTTGTTTAATTTGTTCAATTTTCTTTGTTTTTATGAGTAGCACTGTTGCCAACCAAGTCATACCAGTGAGAAGAGAAGGACGGTGTTTGTCATTTAATAAAGCAACTCAACATTTTGCACTCTGGCTTCTGGATCATTTAATTGAACTGCCTGTGTGGAAGCAAAATATCATTGTTAGGGTCCCCCATCCCAGATTTTGGGGGTGGCGTAGTCCATTTGGTCGACAATACATAAGCCAAAGGTTACATAACTAACAAATACTTGTCATCATAAGTCTCCATGCTATGACCAAAAACGCAAATCATTCGTAGATCATCCGTGACCAAACTTAAGTTCTTCTTGTTTAATACTTCTTGTTTAAAGCTATTCATACTAAATGGCCTGTAGACTACACAATACTGCATTTACAGCTATGCAAAGATTAGGCTGTCTAGATCATTTAAGCAGGGGAGAGTAATTTGTATTTGATGTGTGTGATGGTTGTGGATTATCTGTGTGAAGGTTGTGATGGGCTGGTAAAGGTCTCGTCGCAGGCTGATTTTAAGTCCCAGTTCATCCATGAACTGTTGTGGCCGCATGGTTTTGAGGAAAAAGCATGCAGACGTGAATCTCTAAAGGCATATGACAAGTGCATAGAGTTTTTCTGGCTTTATAAAAACTCAAACTAAAGGGGTATTGAAAATGGTATTTATTGATATAAGGAACAAAAATTCTTGAGTGTTTTTGTGCCAAATTTAACTATGGCTGTTTTTTAAGCGTGTGTGTGTGTGTAAGTGAAGTATATTTTAAAAATTTTCATTCAACAATGCTTTAATTTAAACAATACAGTAATGCTAATTTTAAGGTGTGTTATAAAAGTAACACAATACATTGTAAACATGTTGCATACAAAAAAATGATATGTGTATTTATTTAACCCCCTCCATAAAGCATCTTTTTTTAATATTTTTTTTATTTTTATTTACAGCACGCAGAGAGCATTCAGAGGGCAAAACCAAGGGTCAAGGGTTTTTTCTCAGAGATACGATTGAGCTCAGACAGATGGCAATAACTCACCCGATCCGTGATTGCTCTCCCACAATCCCATGCATTTTATTAGTTTGCATTTATATGCAAAATGTTTCTTTAAGCAAGCATATGTGTGCATGTTCAAAATCTTTACCAGTCTCCGGGGCCTTTAAGTGTGTTGCATAAATGTTTTGAAATTATGTTTCCTGTATGAGTGTGCGTAAGTGTTCACGTGTGTGTTTGAGGGATGAAAGCGAGAGCAAAGGTAAATTAGATGGGCTTGTAGTATGATCATTTTCCCACAGGGCAGTTTTATCTGCTGAGAGAACCATTAAGTTCACTTCACGCTGTGCTTTGCGGTTTAATTTGAAGTAAAAAAAAAATTACTTGTTATAATATTTACTTTCATTATATATATATATATATAAAATGAAAATGAAAGTGCACAAAAAAGCAGCACATTTGCCATTATACTATTATAGAACTCAAAGCTTCATGGTTTATAAATTAACACACCCGATTACCATGAACTACTAATGTGAGTATTTTTTGCTGCATAATTGTTTTATTTGTTATCTTTTGGATGTAATGCTTTCAGTGTGTATGTTTGTGTGGATAGTTGTTAGCTTGTTTTTGTTATCTTTGGCAGGTTTTTCAAGTCACTGTGTAAAGCAAGATAGCTGTAAGGCGATAAGAAAGAAACTCAAGCTCAGAGTCTCTCAGCTCTCTGATTGACGCACGGCTGCAAATCAAACGCAAACTTCATTCTCAAACGTCTCAAAACCAGTTCTGACCCACAAAGGAACCATTTTCTCTATTTTCTGTCTCTGCATTCTTTCACCACTTTCCAATAATTGTTCTTTTTTGAATGAGTAACTGTATAATAATGTTTATCTATCTATATACACTACCGTTCAAAAGTTTGAGGTCAGTAAGAGGTTTTTGAAAGAACTCTCGTATGCTCACCAAGGCTGCATTTATTTGCATTTATAAAATTGTTAAAAAGTTATATTGTGAAATAGTATTACAATTTTAAATATATTTTTCTATTTTAATAAAAAAAAGTGATGGCAAATCTGAATTTTCAGCCTACTTCAGTGTCACATGATCCTTCAGAAATCATTCTAATGTGCTGATTTGCTGCTAAAAAAAACATTTCTTATTATCAATGTTCAAAAACAGTTATGCTACTAATTTTTCAGGATTCTTTAAAAAATAGAAAGTTAGAATAGAAAGAACAGCATGTATGTGTATCTTTCATTTCACTTTGATCTACTTAATGCATCCTTGCTAAATAAATATTATATATTATAAATATTATAATAAAATTTAGATAGTCACTCTAATTATGATTATTAATTGAACAACCCTAATTGTTTTTGTGCCTAAAAATATGGCTCTGCAGTTACATAATTTGATAGTTATGTATAGATATTGCCCCCCTAAGTAACTTTCTAATTATTTAGCTACTACTGTTATATGTTACTATGTACCCTGTTGTGCACAATTATATTTATATGTCCCCCTTACTCACCTTTTTTTTCTTTATTGATCTAATTTTCTTATTTTAAGTCATTTTGAGGTCCCCCCTAGTGGGCCCTGGGCCCCTGGTTGAAAACCACTGCCTTAAAGGGTTTTGTCAAGAGCTTCATATATCAAATCTTTTAGGGGTTCCCATCATGGTATTATTTTATGGATTTAGTTTGAATTAATCAATCAAGTTTGTTTTAATTCGTTGTTTTTATTTTAATTAAATTGTATTAATTAAACAGCTGCTAAACATTTTATCACTAGAAAATAATGAAATGACCAGCAGGCCAGTTATACATCAACGTATTGTGCAATCATTTCTCCTTATATAGAACCTTTTTGGCATAAATGGTTCTTTTAAATTGAGCCCTTATATATAGAACCCCACTGAACCGGTGTAGTTAACTTACAGTGTAGGTAACTTACATGTACTTTTTCAAAAGAGTAGCTTTACTGTGTGAGTTAACTACTTTAAATTATGAGTTGCTTGCAAAATAGCCTGAAATTGTCAATGACATTTACTTTCTTCACTAATTCTATATTCCAAAGGCTTGTCTACTCACATTGAATCTCTGCTATGGTTTTCAATCTGACTCCCTCCCTGAAACCCCTCCGGATAATGCATTCAGCAAATTGATGACAAGATCGCTCTCAACTTGGCCAAGTGTTTATGTTATCAACCATTTCAGTCCTCCATCTGCCGGGATGCCAGCCACACATCCCCCATAATTCCCTGTGCAGATGTGGCCATAAGGAGCAAGCTCATCCCAATCTCTCCATATAATCCCTTCACAGCCCATTCATACCAGAGAGAGGTTGCGCAATCACAGATAGACTTGGCTTTCATCAGTTTGGTTCCTTTCATTTATTGAGGTCATTGGTAGAGCATGTTCTCACACAGCACAATCCCACTGGATGGAACGTCTCGTAATATCGGGAGGATTAAAACGCACATTGTAAAATCAAGTAAAAAACAAGCACAGAGAAAAAACAATAATACATTCAAACAAGGTCTTGTTAATACTTTTCCTTTTTACCCTTCTTTTAATAGAAATTCCGGTAACGTTTTGCTCCCAGATCATTTGTTGAAGAAAATATATGGTTTCAGAGTCATGCACGTTTCCTGGCAAAGTAATAACCCCAAAGTCATGAATGACATTTAATGTTTGAAAGATAAGAGGTGAACCCAAATTGAAACTGAAGACGGACTGACCGCACGCTGTCATCGTTCTCTTTGAAAAAGCTCAGTTTCTCTTTGCTGAATCCGCATGAGGTGCTTTTTTTGAGGTTTGTGCTTTATCTTGCTGTGCTGGAAGCTCTTTGCTCATTAAAGAGCTGTTGATGTTACATTTAAATTATGATGCTCTCAGAATCTCATCTGGTTCGATAAGACAAACGGATTTGGTATATCAGATACTTGCCGTCAATGTATTAACGTTTGGCACCTTGAATAAAAGCTTCTTTTTTTTCGTATTTCATGTGAAAGTTCAAGTGTAAGGCAGAATTTCTGAATTGATAAATATGTGAAGCATACTGATTTATACAACATATATACAACAGACCCACAAAATTGTACAAAATGTCTTCAATAAATAGTCCATATATACATCAATATAAATTGTGAGTTAAATATTTCTTAATAATAGTGTTTTGGAATGGATCACAACAGCAAAAATAAAACAAGCACCCTGAGTTGTGTATAATGGTTTTGTAGCATTAAAAAAAAAGTCAAGTGTTCACAGTTCCAAGTGTATAAATTTGCTTCATGCATCCAAGACGTTTTTCTTTGAACAGTGATTGGCTGAAAACAAAAGTCACTCGTTGTTATTGATGGCCGGCGAGGGTTTGCTCCTTATCCCATCTGTGGCGGCCCTGGAGGTCTCAGTCACAAACCTCCGAGGAATCCACAGCGACGTCATGATCCGCACATACTCCTTTCGGAAGTTCCGATTGAGGAGTCCGTAAATGATGGCGTTGAGGCAACTGTTGAAATAGGCCATAAAGTAGCTGACCACAAAGAGCCACTCTGGAACACGCGGAGCCATGACCTCTGGGTCGATGGCCACCACCAGTCCGATGAGATTGAGCGGAGCCCAGCAGATCGCGAACAAAACGAACACCACGAACATGGTGACGAAGTTGCGCAGGTCGCTGGGCCTCACCCTGGAGCGTTCCTCGCTCTTCACCTTCCGCCTCACCTGTATCACCAGAACCCAAATCCTCAGGTAGCAGAAGGTCACCACGCCGATGGGCACCAGGAAGTGAACCACCACCACGACCACAGTGTAGGAGCTGCTGGCAGTCTGCGTGAAGGTGCAGGAGTAAACGCGGGGGTCGTAACTCAGCGACCCCACGAAGAAGTTGGGAAGAATGGCCAGCACAGTGAGCGCCCAGATCAGGGCCACCAACAGCAGCGTGTTCCGGTAGCTGTAGAGACGCCCGTAGGCAAAACTGTGACAGATGTAGCAGTACCGGTTGATGGCGATGCCGGTGATGTTGAAAACGGAGCCGATCACGCTCAGGCCCATTAGGAAGCCGCTGACTTTACACTGGGTGTCCCCCAGAGCCCAGCCGTCGTGGAAGATCGCGTACAACACCAGCGGGTACGGATAGAAAGCAACCACCAGGTCAGCGAAGGCCAGACTGACAACAAACACGTTGCCTGAGCGAAAGAGAGCAAGAGAAAGAGGGCTTGTTACCGTAATAATCTTGTTTTTACCAGCACAATTTGATACTGTTGCCAGATCAATTTGATGTGAATCAAACATAAAAACCATGATTTTAACTTTCACAATTAGCTTTCACATGAATTAAACAAATACACTTTTTAAATTATTAATATTTACTGTAGAATTGTGTAGATATGACTAAACCGATATGAGTATCATCTTGAAGATTCATTTGAGGTTTGGGGTCAGTAAGTTTTTTTTATTATTATTCAACAAGGGTGCATTAAATTGATCAAAAGTAACCGTAAAGAAGACATTTATAATGTTACAAAAGATTTCTAATTCAAATAAATTATTTTGAACCTTCTATTCATCAAAGAATCCTGGAAGAAAAAGTCATATTGATTTCTGAAGGATCATGAAACACAGAACAGAAGACTGTAATGATGTAAGGATGCTGAAAATTCAGATTTGCTATCACAGGGATACATTTTATTTGAAAACATATTAAAATGGAAAACAGCTTTTACATCATTTTCACTGTATTTCTGATCAAACACATGCAGCCTTGGTGAGCATAAGAAACTACTTTCAAAGACAAAACCCAAACATTTGAACGGTAGTACATTGACGCTACGCTTTTTAGTTTTTATGCCAAAACAAAAAAATTTTCATGTATGGTAACTAGCACACATTTTATTTTTTGTGAGCGGTACATGAGAATCATTTCATGCGTTTATGTAAGTAGATTTATGTTGACTATTTCGCAGTATCGTCACTTTCGATGCGCCGTTTCCTGCCTTTGCCCCTCTAAGCCTGTGTGGTGGCACCTAAATTGAATATAGGGGTAAACTCATGTGATTGACAAGTTGAGAACCAGAGAGTAAATGAGAGAGGAAACAAGAATCAAGAAAGATAAAGCTACTGAGCGAAAAGAAAAGAGAAAGGCTGAATCACATCAACTTCAAAAGCATCTCCAGGGAGCGTGAAGCCTTTGATTACACTGTGACAGCAGAGAACACATCGCTCTCTAAAACAATGCACTCTCTTCTAGCCTCTGCCCTCTCACAGTCATCTCATGCATGGTCTGCTCCGTTAAAACGAACAATCCATTTACTCACTTTCTTATGTTAAACAGTCATCATTTACAGATTACTGTATGCATGTAGAAACAGCTGACTTAGTCATCTTATTAGCATAGAGTCCAGATAGCCCAACGCATTCTCACCCCAAGGCGTCACTAAAATGACCATTTTGACCATGCTTCAATATTCGACGCTTTAGGCACCCTTTAACGTCAGTTACATGACGCGATCCTAGGGCGTCATCTTACTGACGCTTTACCTTTAGCGTCAGATTATAGACGCGGGTAGGTTTAGGTCTGGGGTAGGGTTAGGATTAGATAGCGTCATCTAACTGATGTTAAAGTTAAAGCGTCAGTGAGATGACGCCCTAGGATCGCGTCATGTAACTGACGCTAAAGGGTGCCTAATGGTGCGTTCACACCGGACGCGAATAGCGCGTCAGGCGCGAGTGATTTCAATGTGAAGTCAATGCAAAGACGCGTTACGCGCGTAAAAAATTCCTGCGGCGCGAATGAGGCGTAGAGCGCGGCGCGGTAGACGCGAATACGCCTCATTCGCGCGTCAAGTTCGCGCGAATGGCGCGAATTGAGCGTCTGGCGCGTTAAGCGCGAATGATTTAGTTAGTGCTATTTGTGCATTCACGCGTTTGACGCGAATTCGCGTCTGCCGCCCGAGTTGAAAAATCTGAACTTCTGCGTCAATTCGCGCCGCGTTAACCAATCAGGAGCCTAGCTGCTTGCTGCTGTCACGTGGTGAAGTATCTGGATGCTTCAATAAATTATTTTGTAATATATGACTGTGGTTCTAATGCACAACAAAGCAAATATTTTATCACATAAAACTTGATTTCAATATATGAGACATATTCATTTTGCATTGAATGCTATTTATTCCATATCTAGATTATATGAAATATTATTATAATGTAAAGACAACCAACATATAAGTTCGTGTCTGGACAGTGATGTGTGAGAGAGAGAGAAAAATCACAGGACAGATTAATCACTTTTGGAGGCTGGCTTCATTTATTATCAAAACAAAAATAAATGACAGATTAGGTGGATGCGGGCGAGGGTGAACCTCGCGCCGGGCTGTAGAGCGCGGGCTCGACAGGCATAGCTAGACCACTCGAGGCCGAGGGCTTATACGGCCTACGCTGTCCTCATCAGCGTCCTCACCATTAGGTCCACCAAACCTAGCTCCTGGAGCAAATTGTGAAACTCATGAAACCCTCCGGAGGGTCTGGTAGACCCGAGTACAGCGACGATGTCCCCTACGGAGCTGCTTCTGCTCTCCAGAGCATATACGAGCCGTGACTCTCTCGAATAATGCTAATGCTAATGCTCGATAAACATCTAAAAAGATGGCCGCCAACGGGTTTCGAAACTTTCGCCTCCGGATTTCGCCTCTGACGCGCGTAAATTTCGCTTCAAACTTTTGTTTTTACGCGCGTCAATTTCGCCATTGACACGCGAATTAACACAAAGTGGTCAAGCGTCAAACTAGACGCGGTAGACGCGAATTTGACGCGCTATTCGCGTCCGGTGTGAACGCACAGTAAAGCGTCAAATATTGAAGCATGGTCAAAATGATTCCCAAGGCGTCAGTTTCATGATAGCCCTACAGACGCATGCTTGTAAATTGAGGTATCGTTTTCAGAAAGTGATTTCCCAGGTAGAATAATAGAAGCGGAAAGAAGAATCTTATACATGCAAGGTCACATTTTACCCCATGATTAATAGATGTATTTTGCATGAAATAACTAATAATATAAAATAAGTCTATTTTAGGATCAATAACATTTTTGTGCATCGTGATATTATTTTCATGACAAATAAAAAGAACATTTCCCCACTTAACGCATTACCATAATGTGTCAGATATATTTTTTAATTTGTTGTTATAATATTTATTTTTAACTTATAAAATTGTTTATTTATATAATTTAAATCAATACGTAATACTAATAACATCAACTCACATAAACACAGCATGAGTAGTTTAAATACAATTCTGTAGTGGGAATAAGATTTGTCTTACAATAAAGATAACTTTGGGGCAGGGACGTGCACAGACATTTTTGGGGGCAGGGGCTCAAGTGGAAAAAGGGCACTTCTCATAATTATTTAAAAAAGGTTTTAACAAAACGTTAAAAAAATATTGACGCAACTCTGACTTCCTTACCAATTTATTGTAATTCTGTCACATTCACACAATTGTTTCATACTCAACCGATTTCAAAAAAAAAAAAAAAAAAAAATAAGTTCACAGAGACCATGGTCTTCTTTAGTATATCCATAGGTTTATCACAAGAGCAGGCAACAGTAAAGGAAACTATTTTTCTATGCCACTAGTTTCAATATTTAGAATAACTGACTGCACCAAGGAGAGGGACATATTGTCACTAATAATTTGTTCTTCTAAGTTAACCAAAACAAGCTAATCTGCATATTTAAACCTAACATTTCAGGGGAAAAGACTGGAGAAGTTCTGTGGTGATATGCTTTAGTTATTTTGTTTATCCTATTCACCCAAAGTGCCTTGTCAAATCTATGCAAATTAGCACATTGTGATTAGTTAACACCTAATTTGCATATCAATGTGGTGATTGTTATGACATTATTATTGTGATGACACAAATTTGACTGCATTCACCTGTAGTGTATTAGCCTGTATGGCCATGATATATTGCCTTGGAAGTGACAGTGGACAGAAGGAGACAACACAGGTAATGCAATCACACTGATGGTTTATTTACAGGAAGCAGAGAACAAGCAGGAGAAACAGGTAAGCACACACTGAGAGGTTTGGTTGATTGACTCAGCTTGTGGATAACTCTGTTTGTCTTTTGCAGGTGCGTGGCGGACCATGGTGACTGATGATGATGGTGAAGCTGGGCTGAGAACAGGGATCTCAACAGGTGAGCAGAACAGGTAGTCGGGTAAGTTGAGCGGTGAGCAACAAGACCAGACAGTTGATGGTGTGGTCAGTGAGTCACTGCTTAAATACTGTGATGGTGACAGGTGTGATGAATTAGAATTTGGGTTAGGCTGATCGAGTGGGCCTGGTGTAGATGGTGTTGACTCTGTGACAAGTATAGGGCCCTATGAAATCCGTTTTATTTTCTCACAAATTTCGTTTTTTCCGTAAAAAAAAATTTGGACTCCATTTTAATAGTTAAATTAATTTTTAATAAATTAATTGAAATCATTTAAGTTATACAATTTAACAAACGTATACAGTTTAACAAAAATGACATGTTTAGGGCCCTATGAAATATGTTTTATTTTTATTTTTTTCTCAAATTTCTATTTAATTTGACCAAATTCTGTGTTTTCTGTTTTAAGTTTTCTGGATTCCATTTGAATGGTTTAATTAAATTGGAATGATCACAAAGCATCTTTAATTAATTGAATTAATAAAACAACAATTTATTAATTTAAATAAATTTTAATTTCCAACAAAAGTTGTTTTTTTTTGTGTTTTTTTGCAAACAAATGAAGACATAAAACAATAATTTAATTTAACTTTTAATCATATTAAATTAAACAAATTTTTTTGTCAAACAAAGAGCTAAACAATAATTAAAAAGTTTTAATAAATTCTACTGTACAACAGGAATATAGCCTATTTCTGTCACAATTTCAAGTTAAACCGAACTTTTGACGGGTTCCCGTGAAGACCTTTCTGGCCTGTCTGATGTGCCGATGTGTGCTGCGCGGAGAGAGAGTGAGGGCATCCGAACATGACAAAGTCTCCCGACCTGATATTTTTACTTTTATTCAATAAACATATTAGTTTGACAGAGAAGCTGTGCTCAAACAGGAATATACGTATGTATTATTTATATATATATAAGACCCTCAGAAAAAGGGAAGAAAACGGGCAGGTGCTTAAGCCCCCTTTGA